TCGGGCCCCTGGCGGTGCGTCTGGGTCTCGGGTGCGGGGACGGCCGGCGGGCCACGCCCCGCAGGTGACTCAGCTATTTCCCTGGGTCCCGATTGCGGGGAAGAACAGTCCCTGCCTCCCCAACAGATGAACAGCCCTGGTTCCCCGGGGTGAGGACGCGCGGTCCCTAAAGCATCCTAAGACCGGCACCCGTCGGTGTTATTTCCCCAGCATGGCTGAGACAGAGGCGCTGCCGAAGCTTCGGGAAGACTTCAGGATGCTGAATAAATCCGTCTTTATTCTGGGCGCCAGCGGGGAAACCGGCAGAGTGCTCTTCAAAGAAATCCTGGAACAGAGTCTGTTTTCCAAAGTCACGCTCATTGGCAGGAGGAAGCTCACCTTCGACGAGGAAGCTTATAAAAATGTGGTGGGTATTGGAGCCGAGACTCACATGGTACCCCGAGTGATTCTGCGAGGGGAAAGTGTTTCATGCCTAAAGGCCTGCCAGTGGTGGAGGCAGCCAGAAGCTACCAAAATTTGGCCAGGATTGATCTGTGAGAGGAGCCCCTCTTGGAAGCCCATGCCTGGTATAGGCCCAGGTGGGCCTCCTCTTGCAACCTTGGGCAAAGCTTTTCTCCCCGTCTAGCACCCTTTAAAACTGGGCCTAGGTTGTAATGGGGGTTGGAGAGAGAGAAAAAAGTGCCATCTTCAGGTCCATTCAAAACTGGCTTCTGGAGAGGGCCCTGTGACCTTGACAATTTTCTCGACCGGCTTTTCTTTTTTCTTTTTTGTGTCTACCTATGCACTTTACATTCATGTTTTCAGTGAATCTGAAAACGCTTTGCAGAGTGCAAAGGGTCTAGGCAGTGAAAGGTGGCGTTATTCACTTACAGGAATTTGTCCTGCCTGACTTCCTTGGCTTTATCTGTAAATGGAATATTCCCTTCAGTGTAAGTTATGCTTTCATGGTTAAGGGTATGACACACTAGGCTGCCATCTCATGACAGCCCCCTAGATGTCTGAAGCCTCTGTTTAAGCTGAATTATCTGTGAACTGCAGCAAATTAAACAAGATGATGTCATCCTGAGACACCACAACTACAACTCCAGACTTTGGCCCTACAGGCTTCGTAGGCATAATGTTTCAGATAACAGTCCGTCTAGCAAATAAATGTTCTCGATTCCTCCAGGCCTGTGTTCTGGTCATTCTGTGAATGTCTTTGGTTCATCAGGACTTGTTTGAAACAGACATTTAACTCAGGCTTAGGCAGGTCTTATGTGGTCTTTATAGTCTAGCTTTATGTACTGAGCCAGATATGTATGGTAATTAGATGCTGAAATTGAAATGAGTGGCACGTCTTTTGACCAGGCACTTTGTGAAATCCTAGTTTTCTTCAGCATTGTATGCAATACCAGAAAAATTCTTTTCAAAGAGTTGATGGGAGGGAAGGAGACATTTTATTTGAACTCCCGGCTGATGGGAATTTCTCAAGTGTTCTTTTTTAAATTTTGCAGCGACTTCATAAGGTTAGATGGAGGGTCTTAAATGTGCATGAGGGTTGCAGTGGGTGCTTATTATGTGCAGATCCTGATTCAGAAGTATTGGAGAGGGATGCAGGAATATTCCTTTTTGTCAAGCACCCTCTTCTAGTTCTAATGTTAGGGGTTCTCAGATTGGACTGAAGAAGAGACAATCACCCACGTTTACAGCTGAAGAAAACCATGGCATGTGATCAATAACTTCACCACAATTACATGCCTGCTAAGAGCAGGCCCCAGATTTGAAGCTAGGTCTTCTCTGAGAAGCCAAACACCAACCCCTGCCCCCACATTATACTTCAGTGGTCTCCCCCCGATAAGCGACAGACAGGTCTTTTATTTTTCTGAGGAGAATCTATAATTGAACTTGCCTTTAGAGATCTGGATCACTCCTAGTCCAGTTATATAGACTTATCTGTGCATTGTTGATTTTCGATTCAGGTTCGTTTCTTTTTGGTGGGAGAAAATGGATTTGTAAAAAGGATGTTGGGCAGACCCTTGGGTATGTTCTGTAATTTAGTGTCCAAATCTAGAGGCTTTTTTTTTTTTTTTTTAATAACACAAAGTGATAATGCAACTGTGCCCTTGTCTAGAATCAAGAAGTGGTGGACTTTGAAAAGTTGGATGACTACGCTTCTGCCTTTCAAGGTCACGATGTTGGATTCTGTTGCCTGGGGACCACCAGAAAAAAAGCTGGGGCGGTAAGGAAGCCATGTACCCTTTTCCCTTTTTGCTGACCAAACATGTCAAGGATTCCTTTCTTGTTCACTCTTTTTCTTTGTGCCTGGTGCAGTGCTTAAATGTAAATAAGCTCTAGGCTGGGCTTGGTGGCTCACGCCTATAATCCTAGCACTTTGGGAGGCCAAGTGAGAGGACTGCCTGAGCCCAGGGTTTCGAGACCAGCCTGGGCAACTTGGCGAGACCTCATCTCTACAATAAATAAAAAAATCTGCCAGGTGTGGTGGTGCGTGCCTGTAGTTCCAGCTACTTGGTAGGCTGAGGTGGAAGGATTGCCTGAGCCCAGCAGGTTGAGGCTGAGGTAGCCGTGAGTGTGCCACTGTACTCCAGCCTGGACAATGAAGTGAGACTCTTACTCAGAAAAAAAAAAAGTAAATAAGCTCTTATTGATTCAGGTTCCATATGCCACTCTAACCTTTGCTATTCTTTGAATAGTACTGATAAGTTTGTCTTTCAAAGTAATCCTTGAGTTCAGGCCTGAATGCTGGAGACATCATAAATATTTACATGATGTTGCCTATTACAAATATCGCTGTCACTGCAACCTCTGACTAAGGCAAATCATGGTGTCTGAGTGAAAGTAATTGGCTCATGCTGTTAGCAGTAAGATTCTCCTCCCCTTAATAAATGCTTTAAACCTAAAGCGTTCTTTCTCACTTGAGTGATTTGCTTCAACGTATTTTCACGCCAAGCTTTACACTTCTGGAATAGAACATTAGAACCCAGAGGCACGATTCAGCCAACCTCTAGTGATGACTCAGCCGTCGGCGATGATTCAACCCCAGTGATGATTCAGCCTTCACTGACGCAAAACTGTTTTAGCACACTTTTTATTTTCTTTTTAATGGTGTTCTAAATTGAGTCAGCCCCTGTCCAGAAGTCAGAGTTTACTACACAGCAGTCAGAATTTACTACATGAATTCTGGGCAAATGTTAATGCAGATACATCTTGTTTAATTTATACCCTGACTATAGTTTATTCCTCTGGCAGAATTTACTTGCTGGAGCCAAACGTGTCTATGCAGGACCATGACTCTGCCATGGGGACGCCCCATAGGTTTATAAACCAGGCCCGTGCATCTGAATCATTAGTGGAGCACATAGTTAAGAACTATTAGCTTATACCAACCAAGTAGATAGGATCAGATAATTCTATTGATGAGTCAAGATGTATTTCCGTATTGTCTTCAGTTGTACATATCTGCCTGGGACACAGCTGGGTTTTGGAGTTCTCTGATGGGAATTGTGGATCATGGGGAGGTTTGACTTTCCCGGACATTGGCACATTCTCTCTCCTAGAAAGGGTCACGTCCTGCTTAGCAGCTAGTGCAGCCTTTTCTGTCCCAGGGACAGTCACAAGCAATGTGCCCTCCAAAAGCATTGAAAAACTTTTGTTCCAGGACACTGCAGGTTTCACTATCTGAACTGCCAACCTGGTTTTGGTGGTGACTCAGCAAAACAAAACACTGCATTAGGCATAGAACAGTTGATATTCTTTTCTTTTTAAAAAAAATTTATTTAGAGAAAGCAGGATTTATTGAGAGGACAGAAAACTGCCACAGTGGGAGGGGACCCGAAGGGGTTGCCCCAGAACAGTTGATTTTCATGACAGAAGGTAAATCTCATTATAGGGCATGCCAGGGAAAAGTCAAAATTGCTTCATTGCATTCAAATTGTGTAATACATAATACAACTTTAGTCAGAGGAATTGGGCGTCTTCACTATCCAGAATATAAATATATACATAATATATACAATAAATATATGAAAATATATTAATATATATATTATATAAGATATATATGTATATGTATGGGGGGGTTGGTTCTTCACCTCTCAGGCTACCCAATACCTTGTGTTCTCCTTTGAAGTCAGTTTGGAAAGGTAAAAGAAAATAATTAGTAAATAAAGGAAAAGACTAGAAAGCCAAGTAGACTCAGAAATGAGTTAGGATGAAAATGATTTAAGAAAATAGTGGCAGAAAGTAAGCTGACACTTCCACCAGAAAATATTATTTTCTTTTGTTTTGTGGCTTCTTTTGTTTTTTGGATTGGGTACAATATAAAATTAGGAGTTTGTGATAACTTTAGGCAATTTAAAAGTGATGACAATTCACGAGTGTCTAGGTAACAACAGTTATTGGGAGGCGGGCTGTGGATGTCCAAGCTTACCCCAGGTGGTGTTCAGGGTCTGCAGGCCTCTCTGTAGAAAGGGTTCACTGGGTGCTCAGTAGCAAGCCTCTTGTTCTTCATTAGCTGTTTTGTAACAGGGACACCCTATATTATGCCTCAACAATCTGAGTTTGCAGTAGAGGAACTTCAAGAAATTCAGGGTTTCTGGGTGTCAGGATCCTTTCAGTAGCTAGCTCATTTCCCTATGACTTTCAGTGTATTTGTTTTCTAGGACTGCCTTAACAAAGTACCATAACTTCGGTGGCTTAAGCCAGCAGTTCCCAATGAAAGTGGGCGAGGAGAAATCATCAGGCATTACATTCTCATAAGGAATATGCAACCTAGATCCCTCGTGTGCACAGTTCACAGTAAGGTTCGTGTTCCTATGAGAATCTAATGCCGCAGCTGATCTGACAGAAGACAGAGAGAGCTATGCTCCCAGGCTGCTCACCTCTGACTGTGCTGCCTTGTTCCTAATAAGCCACAGACAGATACTGGTTCACAGTCCCAGGGGTTGGGGACCCCAGCTTAAATAACCAAAATTTATTGTCTTACAGTACTGGAGGCTAGAAGCCGAAGATCAAGGTTGGTTCCTTCTGAGTGCTGTGAGGGGAAAATTTGTTTCAGGGCTCTCTCCTTGACTTGTGGAGGGCTGCCTTCTCTCCATGTCTCTCCACAGGGTGTTTTCCCCATGTGTCTGTGTCAGATCTACATTTCCCCTTTTTGTAAGGACGCTAGTCATATTGGATTGGGAGTCACTGTATTCAGTATGACCTCATCTTAACTAAGTATATCTGCATTGATCCTATTTCCAAATGATGTCAGATTCTGAGGTACTATGGGTTAGGATTTCAACATATGCTTTTGGGGGAGATACAATTCATCCCATAAAATTCAGTCAACCCGGATTTCTGTTGAGATTGGCACTGGGGATAGGTCTATTTGCATTCTTCATCCGATTGGAAGCCCATTTCCTTTAGCAGTAGCTGGCCTTTTCACATTCACAGGCCATAGTCATCTAATCAATGCAAGGGATTCCTGATTTGGCCCTAACCCAGATCTACTGGGTCAGAATCTCTGAGGCTAGAAGCTTGGCATCTGTATTCTCTTTGTTTGTTTTGAATTGGAGTCTCACTCTATCGCCTAGGCTAGAGTGCAGTGGCTGGGCTCAGGCGATTCTTTTGCCTCAACCTTCCAAGTAGCTGGAATAACAGGTATGTGCCACCAGATCCAGCTAATTTCTTGATTTATTGTAGAGATGAGGTCTCGCCAAGTTACCCAGACTGGTCTTGAACCCGTTGGGCTCAGGCCATCTTCTCACCTCAGCCTCCCAAAGTGCTGGGATTATAGGTGTGAGACACCATGCCCACGACATCTGTATTCTTAGCAGATTCCTTGGGAGATTCTGATGCAGCCAAGCTTTCCTTGTTGAACTTGCTTTTGAGAGGCATTGGGATATGTTAATACTCTTCACTTGCTGGTTTTCCAGGTATTGTGGTGTTAGTTATCCTCACCTTGCTTTAGTAAATGAATAAAATGTATGCTAGTGAAGATTGCAAGAGCCTTTGAAAACCAGATCTTCATTGGCCTGGAACAAAGAGCAAAAACCAAAGATGCCCCTGAGAATTATGGATTTCTTCTTATTTGTATGAAGAGAATGGTTTGGTTAGTGAGTCTAAGGTGGTTTGAAGTGGTCCCACCTCTTCATTTGCTACTCACCTGTTGGTAGACTATAGCACGCAGTCCAGTTCCTTGGATTCTATTGAATGGATGATGTCATTAATGTTGATTAATGCAGCCTTTGTAACATTAATTAGGCATTATTAGAATTTTATGGCTTCTGATTCTAGTGATCTGTTCTTCTAATTCAGAGGCTTGTATACTGTAGCTCGCGGGCCAAATGTAGCCTGCAGGCTACAGTATAGCTTATGTACTAAGAATATTTTCATATTTTTAAATGGCTAAGAAATTCAGAACAATAACATGTCATGCCATGTGATGATATAAGGAATTCAAGTTTTAGTGTCATTTTGCCATTACAAAATGGGCAAAAGATATGAACAGACACTTCTCAAAAGACATATGAGTGACCAACAGATACGTGAAGAAATGTTCAACCTCACTAGTCATCAAGGAGATGCAAATTAAAACTACACTGAGATACCACCTAACTCCAGTCAGAAAGGCCATTATCAATAACAAAAAATAAAAGATGCTGGAGAGGATGTGGTGAAAAGGGAATACTTCTACACTGTTGGTAGGAGTGTAAACTAGTACAGCCTCTGTGGAAATCAGTGTGGTGATTGCTAAAAGCTCTAAAAATCGACCTTCCATATGACCCAGCAATCCCCCTACTGGGAATATACCCTGAAGAACTCAAATCACTCTTAAAAAAGATACTTGCACACGTATATTTATTGCAGCATTGTTCACTATAGCAAGATCATGGAACCATGCTGCCCATCAAAAGAGGACTGGATTTTAAAAATGTGGTACATATACACAATGGAATATTACACGACCATAACAAAGAATAAAATCATGAATTTCACAGTTACCTGGATGGAATTAGAGTTTATAATACTGAGTATCTCTCACAGAAACAAACATCTGAGCATCACATGTTCTCACTCATAAGTGAACCTTAAACAACTACCATAATACTATAAGAAAAGAATTGACAATGGTGGGAAACTATGGGGGGTAGGGACAGGGAGGGGAAGGGAGGTGAGGTTAACGGTATTCAATATCTGTCTGGGGAAAGGGGGGCACATCTCATCAACAAGGGTACC